TTATCTTGCTTATCTTTTGGGGTTAATCAGTTTCTCTGTTCTTGCAGGGATGTCACAGTTTGTTCCATCCAAAGCAACTTATGTTTGGCTTTCACAGTGGTATGCATTAGTCTAGAAAGTTAGGACCCTAAGCTAAGAGATGCTTTGTCTGTCGAGGCAGCTTGTATCAGTAATTGTACAACCCTCTGGTATAAGGAAGTCTAAAGACACCATCCTCAACTCTGGAGCTGTGCTGCTTCAAATAGGGAGCTCAGACTTTCCTGGCAATCATTTCAGGCAAAATCCTTTGGTAAGCACTGAGCCATTCTCCGAGAGTCACTGCTCTGGAGTCTTCTTATTGATCTCTAGGAGCCAGTCGGATGGATACAGCTGTGAATGGGGTTGAAGCGGCTCCATGAGCAGCAAGCAGGCAGTGTCCCACACCGCATCCTCCTGCCTTCCTGGCAGGGCATATCTGCAGAGCTGCTGTTGGCGTTCCGTGAAGTTTCTCCTTGGAGTCCCTCCCACTCTCATGAGCTGTCCCTCAGCACACCGCTCCAAAAGGAAAGGTAAACGCATTGTTAACGATTTGTTAAAATCATCCATTTTATGTTTACTCATATTCTTTACTATCTGTGGCCATTTAATAGTCTTAGGGAATGAACAAATTGTCCTTGGTATCTGAAATATAAAGAAAGTCTAGAGACTCATCGTAGCAGACGGTTTTGTTCCTCTTCTCTTACGTAGCCTTTTGAGCCAACACAGGGCCAGACTCATTTTCTTTTCTCCTGATGATAACATTTTTATCTCAGGTGCTGAATTGCTCCACCCATCCAAGGAGCTCTGGCCTATGGATATTGATGCTTTTTGTCAACGTTTTCCTCAACTAGCATTTCTTGAGAAGATGCCCCTCTGCTGAAATCCCTTCCACCTACTCTCTGCCAGGGAGCCTCCTCTTCCTCTTCCCACTCACATTGTCTTCTTCCACTCTCTTAGGACTTCTGGAAGGGAAGCTTCCCCCTTTTTCATGGAAGCAAGCTAACTTATCAGGTTTTGAAACTGTTACATGTCTCAAATGTAAGACAGATGCCTCCTGTGGCTCTTGCCTTTGTTTCCGCCTTTGTGCAGCAAGAAGACTACGCTGTGCCTCCTTCTGGCAGTCCCAGCCAGGTCTCTGTTCCCTGTTCTAGCTTCTCTGTCTCTCATTGGTTCAGTAAATCTGGTTTGGGTGGCCAGAGGTCAAGGTTCATAGGTGGAGGCAGGAGGTGGTGGGAGAGGGGTGATGGGGACATTTTCTCCTTCTCTCAAAGCAAACTGCACCCTGGGTTGGCATTCTGGAAATTTGATGAAGGTGGAGTGTTGGCTGTGTTACAGCATCACTTGAGGTGGGGGCAACCCCTGGTTGATGGGTGCTTTACTGGGAATGTCTGCTGGGAGCCTGTGGCTTTGGGCTTCCCCAAGCACAGTGACCTGAACTGAGTATGACTTCTGCAAGAACCCTGGAAATGATGCCCAGGTGGATCCTATACCCATGGTTGTGGGTTTCATCTTCTTGCTCCTGAGTTACTGTTTGGGAGCCAAGAGAATAGCCGGGGACTAGGAGGTGGAGTGCGGTGACGACTCCCTGCAGAGGTAAGCCCGACTTGCCATCCTGGAGGCTGTAGTTCCTGTCCTACATTGCCCTGAGTGAATCTAATGCCAAGTGTGCTCTCTGGAAGTCCCCATGAGTCAGAATGTCTAGTTGAGCCTACAAATAAAGATATCCCTGGCAGGAATTGCAGGCTTTACCCGATTCTCCCTCCAGAGAGCCCCCAAAAAGTGGATATTTTTGCACCCAATTGTGCAGTGTGATGCATTTTCCCTCTACTGGACAGAATACTGCACAGAAGGAGAAGCTGAATTTCACCCTCAAACCACCACCATCACTACTGGTTATCATCATTTCACCATCATCAAAATCCCCATCATCACAACCCCAAGATTTGTGGATTCTCACCATTGCCTGGCACGTCCCCCTCTCTTGCAAGATCACATATTACTCTTTTTTATTTCCTCTCCCAGCATTTTCCCCTGCGGACAGCCTCTCCTAGGAAAACACTGAACTGAGAGTCCTACTCCGCTGTGGGAGTCAGCCTAAGACAAATGCTTCTGTTTCAGAATTTCACAATCTGAAAAATGGGAAGACGAATCCTTGCCCCCGCAGTCATGCTCTGAAATGGTCTAGGTTCTTCTTATAATCACTACAATGACAGAGCGGTCTGAACTCCTTAAAGGTGAGATGGTCTAAATGTCAATAGATCTCACCACTTTCCGATGACACTGAAAGTCATTAGGGTCCCTCTGCATTCTCTCTCCCATCCCATAGCTGTCTCCAAGCAGTCACTGGCTTGTCAGCACAGAATGGATAAATTGTGGTGTGCTTTTGCATCTTGGGTTATTATGTTTTCCGAAGAAAGGAAAACAATGAAAACTCTCAATAGTCAGCCCACTCTGCTTCTCCCAATAAACTGAAGGACTGAGTGCCACATGTGTATAAGAAAAAGAATGAGAGAGATAGAAGTGGGCCAGGGAAAAGGCAAGCAGCTAGAAGAAAGCCAAGAAACAGGAGGAGGAGGAGAGATGGCACAGAGCCCTATTCAGAGAGAAACACCACGAGAAGGAGAGACCAGAGCACCGGGCCAGCCTGAGCAGGAGCACTGGGAGGCCCAGAGCCACAGGAAACAGACCTATGCCTGACAGCCCCCTTGCGAGCGGGCCCAGGTGCACTCAAAGTCACAGGTGGCAGGTTTCCCATAGGTCACACCATGGGACTCCTGCTATGTGGTGCAAGAGAGCTAATGGAATAAGCACTGGGTTGTGAGTCAGGAGAACTCGCTTTTAATCCCAGATAAGAACCTTGAGCAGATTATTTCCTCTCTCTGAGCCTCAGTTTTCTCAGCTGCAAAGCAAGCAAACTAGACTGGTTGATGACCTGGTCTCTTCTATGTTCAATTCGGTCTTCAAATCTGTAGAGCCATTGGTGGTAGCAGGTATTTATCCTCCTCTCTTTTGTCCATGCTCCCTTCAGGGAAGGAACATATTTCCCTGCCCGGTTACCCTATTGATGTTGGACTTACTAATGACTAGTGTTAGCCAATAGGCTGTGGGTAGAACGGACAGTGCGCTAGTTCTGAGCAGATGTTTTGAGATGCATTGCAAGTTTCCACCAAGCCCTCTTGTGCTTCTGCATTCAACCAGGAAAACAGCACATCCAGTAGTCCCTGCTCCTTTAGCCTGGGTCCCAGCATGAGGAGACACTCAGAGCAGGCCTGAACCCAATGCACAACCAGAAGTTAAACCCAGCCAACCTCAGCAGAGCCAAAGCCATCTTCCAAACCCCTGAATGGGAAATAAATGTTTGTTGTAAGGCACTGCGATTTGTGGAATTGTTTGTTATTGCAGCCAGTGCTGACTAGTTGACTAATACATCATGTGACAGGAAAGCATGTCTCATAGAAGGACACATCAGAGACTGATTTAAAGCCTGCCTGAAGGAGAATGAAGGGCAGCTAGAGGGGCCCCTCCACTGTTTCCCCCTTCCATGCCAGAGCTGCTATAAACCTCCATATGGAGACACACCTGGCTTTTGGCATCAATAATCCAGGGCTCAGCAGGAGTAGGAGGAGAGTTTGGTGGGAGGGGGAAGGAAATTAGAATGCATCAATGTCAAATTGTTCCCCGTTCATAGTCCTCCAAACCTGGGCCGCCTGCTTCTCTCACTGCCTAGGTGCTATAATGAAAAGACTCTTGAACTTGGAGTTGATATATTGGTTTAGCTAACTTGGAGAGACAGCAAGATGGCTTAGACAAGTTTACAAGTTCCAGCATCTCTGGTATCTGGCTACTATAACAAGTATGTAAGTCTCCAGGCTTTTCTGATCCCTAATATTAAAGAACTCCAAAGAAATTCACACAAACATCAGCCCAGCCAAATTCTAGCTAATAGATATTTTTCTGCCAAATAGAGAAGTGTAGCATATTTAATACAATATACTAATAACGCCCAGAGAGGATAACTGTGGAACTCTAATGTTCCCAGGACTGTGACTTAGGGGATAACCTGAGAGTTCTAGGGTGGGATGTCTGACCAGAGCTTCCCCACCTCCTTAGCTGCTTGGACCGTGTCTTCAGAGCCGCAACAGAGCCACAATCATCTGTTGGGCGAGGGAGGGGAAAGACCCAGCCCTCCACCACCAAAGCTACATGGTGGAAGAAAGGAAGAATACAAACTTGGGGGTGGTGTCAGGGAAGGAGTAGGATCTAAAGCAGTGGGTTCCAATTTTTTTTTTTTCTAAAACACTGAAACCTTTTAAACAAAACTTTATCTGGAACAGAAATACATGTAAATAGATAAAAGAACAGATGCCATGATGAAACAGGAGTGAGAATTTGAAGCCTCCCTGTGCAACATTCCTTTTCCATTCCCTAGTTGGGATGGGGGAGCCTGGAGCTGTGTGTGAGGCCCCAGTACTACACAAAGCTGGAAAACCACTGGACTAGAGAAATTCACGGCATTGAAACAGGCTTAGAGAAAGCTGGAATAAGGCAGGGAGTGGGAGCAGATTCAACCATGGCTGTCTCTAGGCAGTTTGCTGTGAAGAGAATGGAATGAAATGGGCAGGCATCCCTTGTCATGCTTGGCAGTGTAGGGTGCACAGTGGAGAGGAGGCCATGCACACCCTGCTTGAGGTGCATAGACTTAACAATTTTTCTCAAATCCTCCTAGAGGCAAGCCTCATCTTTATCTTCAACCGTGCAGACAGGTTTGTTTGGGAAATATCTAGATCTTCCTTCTTTTCCCTGCCTCCTCCCCCTTCCCATCCACTCCTTGAATCCAAGCCTCTGGCCTCTCCTGAGCTCAGAGGTCTCAAGCCTGGGGCCATATCTGCTTCAGCCTCCCACAATGGGGGATCCTGAGGGATCTGTCCATCCCACGAGCACATGATTCCCCACTTCCCATGGAGGCAAGCCCCCAGACCCACCTATGCACACCACGTCCATGAAGCCATACATCCCATAGCAGATCTGGAAGAGAAGGTCTTGGCGCTGCCATCTTGCCGAGGGGCTGAAAGTTGACCAGATGAGCCAAGAAATACTGGCGATGAGGAAGAGGGAGCCCAGGATGGCGGCTGCAACCTGAACCTTCTCAATGACCGTCAGAGAGATGGCCTGCCACTGTGGGGGAGAGAGTGGCCAGTTAGCAGTCGTTTGGATGCCCTCATCCCATTCCCACCCCTCTTCCGTCTGCTGCTCCAACAGCCCACCTCTGATTTAAGATTTAAGCCAGGGCTTTCCAACCTGTGGTACAATGTGCATTTTGCAGGTTTCTGAATTTCACATTGAACTTTAGATGCAGAGAAAATCTCTATCACACCAAATGATCACAGTTAATTGTAAGGAGGGGGCTCTAGGTGGGCATGGTTGGAAAGGAAGACCCTTAGACTTGATTATGATATAGACAGAGAAATGGAGAGAATGATGAAAATGCAGAGCTAGTGAGGGTGGTGTTCTAGGCCCCCTGACTTTTTTTTTTTTTTTTTTTGAGATGGAGTCTTTGCTCTGTCGCCCAGACTGGAGTGCAGTGGCATGATCTCACTGCAAGCTCCGCCTCCCAGGTTCACCCCATTCTCCTGCCTCAGCCTCCTGAATAGCTGGGACTACAGGTGCCTGCCACCATGCCTGGCTAATTTTTTTGTACTTTTTAGTAGAGACAGGATTTCACCATGTTAGCCAGGATGGTCTCGATCTCCTGACCTCATGATCTGCCACCTCGGCCTCCCAAAGTGCTGGGATTACAGGCGTGAGCCACCGCGCCTGGCCTGCTCCCAGATGATTCTTTTCAGAGAAACACAGTCTATTTTCTAACTAATAGGTGCTGAGAGTGCACAGGCTTTTTTGTTTTTGATTTTTGTTTGTTTGTTTGTTTTTTTCTTGCTTTCTACAACATCACCTTGCATGCCACTTAATTTATATGCTAGAGGTTACCAATTCAGTAGACCAGGGAATGAGATGTGGGGAGAGAGAAGAAAAACAGCTTATTTTACTGAATGTATATCAACACTATTATTTCATTTTTTAACAGAAAAAGCCCTGTGCTTATAGCAGTATTGACAGATGGGTTAAAGGCTAGGGTGTGGGTGAGTTTCAACACTGAAATTCTATGATTCTATGGTTGGTCCAGGCAGTATAGGTCTGAAGGAGTCAGGAGTTAGATTTTTAGCTTGGGGTTTATTCATGCAGTTACTCAAGGAATACATATCGCGTATTTTCTATGTGCTGGCCACTATGCTAGGTGTTGGCAATGAAGCCCTAGGCAAAAACAGACAAGGTGCCTGCCCTTATGGAGCTTATAGTCTAGGGAACTTAGACAACAATATAATTATTTGCACATGCAATTCATCAAGGGTAAGTCAGGGAGGAACACGGCACAGTGAGAGCTGGTGACAGGGGGATTCGACTTCCTAGAGGAAGCGATGCTTGAGTTGACTAGGTTACTAGTCAACTAGGCAATGAAAGGAGGGAAGACTGCTCCCAGCAGAGGGAAGAGCATGTGCAAAGGCCTGTGCCAGAAGAAAGCATGGGAAGGATAAAAGCCTGGGAGAAGATAAGAGTGGGTGGAGTGAGACAGCAAAAGAGCTTGTGGGGTGAGACAACTGGAAAAGGAAGAATGAGAGATCACACAGAACCTTGTAGAATATGCAGAGACTTTGTGCTTTGTCCTAAGTGTAGATGTGATGATATGAATGGTTTTATGCAGAGGACTGACAGGATCAAATTTGGGAAAGTGGGGGGAAGGACATCTTTCAATTGGAGACATTTGCATAACACTCTGCAAAGAACACCCCCAGAAAGCATTTCACTCTGAACTCTGAGAAAAGGCAGACTATTTTCCCTCTGCCAACAGGGAGACCTGGATGGAAGCATTGATTCATTCTGGCTGTAGCTGGGATTGGCCTGGCCGGTGGCCCCCAGGGAATTGTAACTGTAGGGAAGCATTTCACTTGCTGGTCCAGACGTAGGACATGAGCCTCTACATTTAATTATACAGATAGGCTCCATTACAGGTAATTGGGGCTTTACATTTTCCACTGTTTCCCCTGCCTAGGGTTACACATAATGAAAGGATTTTCCAGAAGATGACTTCATCATACAGACTTCTTTCATGCATAACAAATGCTTTTTCCAGGGCCTGCCCTGCTGCCTGGAAAGAGGGCTTCTGGCTGAGTTTTTGTTTCTACCATTGAGGCATCCATAATCCTCACTTTCTCCTGCTCCTCTAGACTTCAAAAATGCCAAATATAGAGGCACAGAAAGCTTCTCTTCATCCCTAAAACCCCTTCTACCAGCTCTGAAGCCAGCTATGGAACCTAAATGGGGCTTCTGACTGCAGTGTAAAGCGTGACGAAGAAGCAGGGTGGGGTGCTATGGACAAGGCACTCTCCTCCTGTCTGTCCCATATGAGGCTCCACAGAGATGACGGAGAAAGCAGAGAGTGAGTGAGCTCTGAAAACTCACAGGAGGGCTGGGAGGGGGAGATGGGCACCCGGGGTACCAGGTTGCCACCAGATCCCCACTCTGATCTCAGTATCATGAGGTTTCTCCATCCCCTGAACTCTCATCCTGCAGCACCAGTGAACGGAGAGACAAGGGGAAGAGCACAGAGACCGGATGTTGTGTGTCTTAGAACAGGAAGGAGCACCGAGTGAGGGATCAGATGGCCCGATCCTGACTGGGCTCCGCTCCTACGCACTGACCTAGGAGAAGTCAAGAAATCATGAGGACCCTCAACTTTCCTTTCTGTAAAATAGAAATAATTGGTCTTTCCTGCTTCCTAGAGTGTTGTGTGAAATGAAATCACTCTTAAACCAGTGCTTTGAAGGGCGTTCTTAATGACGTTTCAGCAAAAGTACAGATCAGCGTGTCAAGGTGGGGGTATTCCCAAACGTGCCTGTGCAGAGGGTAAGACCTGGACCCAGGAGTCAGACCCCCACATCCACTCTACCACTCAGTAGCCGTGTCAGCCTGGGCACGTTGCTGAACCCTTCTGTGCCTCCATCGTCACATCTGTAGATTAGGAAAAATAATAGTGCCCACTTCACTGGGTTGTTTTCAGGACTGAATTATACAATATATGTGAATATTTAGAACACTGACTGGCACCTAATAAGCACTAACTAAATGTTCATTAATAATTGCAATTCAGATGTAACAAAGAGAGGGTAGGAAGCAGCCACAAAGCCTTGAGACCCTCAGAGCCATGCTGTGCCTCCTTCCTCAGTGGTTCTTCTGGCTGGAAATATTGCTTCTAGAGGGTCGCCCCCATAGGACACTAAATAGTGTATTATTTCTCACTACTTTTTTTCTTTGTTTCTGAGACAGGATCTCGCTCTGCCACCCAGGCTGAAGTGCAGTGGCACAATCATAGCTCACTACAACATAGACCTCTTGTGCTCAAACAATCCTCCCGCCTCAGCCTCCTGAGTAGCTGGGACTACAGTCATGGGCTACTATGCCCAGCTAATTTCTTTTGTAGAGACAGGGTCTCATTATGTTGCCTAGGATGGTGTTGAACTCCTGGCCTGAAGTGATCCTCCAGCCTCAGCCTTCCATCAGTGCTGAGATCACAAGTGTGAGCCACCATGCCTGACCTATTTCTCATGACTCTGTCTGGGGCATGAACCAGGAGGTAAGATAACCAGGAGACCTGGAAGGAACTTCCCCCCTCTGGTAGCAGAGGCAGTCCTGGGATTCCCATCCATCGCTCCACCCACTTGTGGTGGGGCCTGCCAGCTCCATCCTACACTGTAGATGATCCAGCCGGGCTGGGGCATAGCAGCCCAGAAGTTGCCCACTGTGCTGAGTAGGCAGCTGTCTCACATGTTGCTGGACCTGAGGAGTGCAGGACATACAATTGGGACATTTTGGACCACAACCACACAAAATCGCTTCTAATCCAAACTACTTCCTTCTTCCAGTGCTATCCAGAAGTGAGACGGCATTTTCTGAGCACACACCGTTGCATTTCCAGGAGCAACAGAATCAGAGGGAGCCTCCACCAGTGAATGTCAAGAAACTCACAGTGGAAGACAGGGTAGGGACTCAGGAATAGATGCATATGGATCCTCATAGATTCATATTGCTAACACTGCCACTTGCTTACCTGACTTGGGAGATTAGAATAACCTTTTCGTTTTTTACCCCCAGGAGAAAGTTATCCCTAAATGCATTTTCACTTTATGAGCCAAGGGTAGAGCCAAGGAAGGGTGCTTTGGGCTGGGTTCACAGGTTTGGAATCTGACCCTTTCTTGAGGCTTGAGCTGGATGAAAAGAAAGGGGAGGGTTAATGCATTCAGACCCCTGCTGGAGCCCAGAGGATGTGGAGTCAGCCGTCTCGTGACACTGCTATTTTAAGACACTTTGAGATTTTGAAATGAATTGAAGATGGAACCAGCAGCAGGGAAAGGCACTTCTTTATGACCCCTTGGTATACTACTAAGAGGGCTAAGGTGCCTGGGGCTTTTAGTGCTACCTTCCAGAAATGCCCCACAAGCCCAGCACACCTGTGTGTGCAACACACACACACACACACAGGCTCATTCTTGGGATTGCCCCATGTAAAACTCCATGGGGTGTAAAACAAAATAGCTTTTTAATATTCTCTCCCCTTCTTCTATTTCTTATTGCTTATATTCCCATTTTTCTCTGCCTCCCTCTCCTGTTTCTTCTGTTTTACCTCTGTCCCTTGCCATTGGAAGAGTGGTCTCTGAACCAGAAGCATCAACAGGTCCTCCTCCAGACCTACTGAGTAGCCTGCATTTTGACAAGACTGCAGATCAATTACATGCACATTGATGTGTGAGAAGTGCCATTAAGTCCACTCTTATTTCTTCTTCTTTGTTTTTTTTTTTTTTTTGAGACGGAGTCTCACTCTGCTGCCCGGGCTGGAGTGCAGTAGCTCGATCTTGGCTCACTGCAAGCTCCACCTCCCAGGTTCATGCCATTCTCCTGCCTCAGCCTCCTGAGTAGCTGGGACTACAGGCATCCGCCACCACACCTGGCTAATTTTTTGTATTTTTAGTAGAGACGGGGTTTCACCATGTTAGCCAAGATGGTCTCAATCTCCTAACCTCGTGATCCACCCGCCTCTGCCTCCCAAAGTCCTGGGATTACAGGCGTGAGCCACCACACCCAGTCTTTATTTCTTCTTTACCTGCCCATAATTTGATCTCAGTCCTTCTCCTCAACCCTCCCACCTTCTGTCTTTTTGTTTCCTGTTCTCTTCTGCCCTCTGGCCCTTCTCTTTTCCTTCTTCTTCTCTCCCTCCTTCATTTCTTCCTTTCCTTTCCTTCTTTCTTCCTCTCCTTTCTGCATTCATTTATTCATCCATCACTTATTCTCCCTTTTCTATCTGATTCTCCACACTTCTTTCCTTCTGTATCTATTTCCCTCTCTTTGTTCCATCTCTTCCTCTTCTTCTTGCTGAAGCTTAAGAGAAAACACAAATATCCTTTCATCCCCTCCTACCCCACGCCGCCCACCGTGCTTGCCCACCCAGCCCATCTCCTTCCTTTCCCTCAAACTGCCCTGAATCTAAGGTGAAGTAAGCCTCCTGCTGAAGCAGGTGGTGTGGAAGCCCCAGGCCCAGCATCCCCACCGGGCAGCCCTGGGTCGTACCTGCAGAGGATTTTTTGTGCTTATGGCGATGACGTGGTACTTGTAGTAGCACAGCTCGCAGCTCCAGCAGCCCCGCTCGCTGATCCACTTGATGAGGCAAGGCTGATGGGTGCACTTGACCGAGCCATCGCAGCGGCACGGGCTCAGCAGCTCCCCCTGCAGGGAGAGAGCACAAGGTGATGAGGCTGAGACCTACGGTGGCTAGTGGGTGGGTGATGGGCGGGAGCATGGCAGCCTGGTTTGGGCCACCCAAGTAGGCCACAGGCTTTGTTTGGGGGCACCAGACTCCACAGAGGAGGCCTGGGCTCCTGCACCCCCACCATGAGAGCCAAGCCATGTTGGTCAGCACAACTAACACCTCTGAGCCCCTGCTCCTACTTGATACAGCACAGTGCTATTAATTCCTAGGGTTCTACGAAGATGAGTGGGCTGGGTTCTGCGGAAGCCTCTGCTGTTCACAGTGGGGTGTCAGGCTGCAGAAGCGTCTCTGTAAAGGCTCGGCCAAGGGCTGCAAACTCAAATGCCCTCAAGGACAGACGGGCAACACAGATAACAAAAGCTAGCTAGTGGAGACTGAATTGGAAGGCTCAGACCCAAGTTAAAGGGAAAGCCGCCATCAGCTCTAGCCAGTGTAGATGTGGGGATCTAGGATGTTGGGCAGATGCCCTCACTGAAGGTCTGGGTCCCTCCAGCCACCCTTGGGCCTGGCTGGGGTTAGCTGGGAAGCCCAGTTGGAATCAGAGAGGCAGAGGACTCAACTGAGCAAGATGGTGTCAGGATTTGAAACCTCCTTTGAGTGGACTGCAGCCTTGGGCTCACTCTCCAGAATGTCCCATGACCGTATGTCAGATGGTCGTGGCTGAAACCTGTGTTTTTTGTTTGTTTGTTTGTTGTTTTTGAAACAGGATCTCACTCTGCTGCCCAGGCTGGAGTGCAGTGGTACGATCGTGGCTAACTGCAATCTTGATCTTCTGGGCTCAAGTGATCCTCTGGCCTCAGTCTCTCAAACGACTGAAACTACAGGCACGCACCACCATGTCCGGCTAGTTCTTTATTTTTTTGTAGAGATGGAGTTTCATCACGTTGCCCAGGCTGGTCTTGAAATTATGGATTTCCATCTGCCTCTGTAATCACGCACTTGGCTGCAGACTGTAGAATCGGCTCTTCCTTCTAAGATTCCTGGAATCATATTTCTTTTCCATTTCAACTCCTATCACTCAAGGATCTCACTGTGGCCTGGAAGAGGTTTGGAATGTCCTTTTGCACCTGGTCTACCTGTCAGCTGTTACTCTCTGTCTTCAAGATGATTCAAATGCCGCCTCCTACTGGAAGTGGTCCCTGGCTGCTCCAGGTTGAGCACAGTGCTTTGAGCGCTGAGTGCCTTATGCTGAGTGACTTGGGTACATCCCTGTTAGCACGCTTGGCGCACCATTATGAGGATCTACGCATATCCCTGTCTACCCACCAGAGGAGCCCCAAAGGCAGGGTGAGGCATTCATCTTTGCACCCCTTTCCTCCAGTGGCAAGCCCTGTACCCAAGGTGCAAGCCCTAAATAAGTTTTCGTGTTTGAATAAGTACATGAAAAAATAAATCAAGGGTCTTCTCAGGTTGCCTGCATTGCCTTGCGGAACAGGAACAAGATGCCCACTCCATGAGAATGGGAACCACATCCATTTTGTTAACTCTGGGAACAAACATCTTGCTCAGTGCCTGGCACTCTGTATTTGTGCAATGAATGAACTTGGCAGAAATGCTCAGGTGCTCATCCCCATGAAACCCTCCTTGGTTCCCCACTCTGCTCCTCCAGTATCAACAGGCCCCCTTTGCTGTGGCTCCAGGCCCTTCCCATACCCTCTGTTATAGCGCGCCCCCATTTGCCCCTCACAGGGACAATGTCTTACCCATCATTGCAGCCCTAACGTCTAGTAAAGGGCCTGGTAAATTTTGATACTCAACACAACTTTGAGAGCTGAATGCATGCGTATCTGTCTTATGAACGAGAGGTTTTGCTTCTCTAGGACATGGCCAGCCTTTGGCTCCAGGTAGGCAGCCACCTCCTGGAGAGGAAAAGAAGAGGCGGGACATGCCCACGTTGCTGGGCACTCGGCACACTCATCAAGGCCTAAGTGCCCTTGTACTGAGGAGCTGCTATATGACTCTGAAAAGGAAACAGGAGGGGGTGAGTGGAGAGACGTGCTGGGGGAGGGGCGAAATTCCTCATTATTCGTGGCAGCATTTCCAGGCTCATTAATTCTAACAGGATGAGCTGGGTTTGATTAATCGGGTTGTTAAGCAGCCATGTCAAATTGCCCATCAGGTAAGAGACATTACTTCTGGTCCCTGGCAACAGTGCTGAGCGACAGTGAAGTCTCCACGCCTTGCTTCCCAAGCAGCAGCCAAGAGACAAGCAGGAAGAGCTGCTGCCTGGGGCACAGCTGATAACAATAGCTGGGCTCTGGTTGTGGGACCATCAGCGCTCACGGGAGCCCCGCCCTGAGCCTCAGCATGCTCATCTGGGTGGAGAAAGGAGGAGCGTGACCTGGCCTAATCCCAGTGACTGGCTAAGGGTCAAGAGGGAAGGACTATGCCGCTTCCCCTCCAGAGAATCATTCATTTTCCTTTAGGGAGAAGAAAACTCCAAAAGGCAGCATAGGGACTTGCTGCTGGCATTACAAATATTAGAAAGCAAGGATGGTCTGGGTGAGGTGGCTCATGCCTGTAATGCCACACTTTGGGAGGCCAAGGCAGGTGGATCACTTGAGGTCAGGGGTTCAAGACCAGCCTGGTCAATATGGCAAAACCCCATCTCTACAAAAAATACAAAAATTAGCTGGCCATGGTGGCATGATCCTAAAATACCAGCTACTCAGGAGGCTGAGGCAGGAAAATTGCTTGAACCCAAGAGGCAGAGGCCGAGGTTGCAGTGAGCAGAGATGGCACCAGTGCAGTCCAGCCTGGGTGACAGAGTGCAACTCCATCTCAAAAAAAAAAAAAAAAAAGTAAATAAAGCAAGAACAACAAACTGTTAGAAAACTTTAACTTTGATAAAGGAAGTGATGATCAGGGATTTGCTGTGGGGGTTGGGGGGAATCCAGAAACAAGCTATTTTAACTCTGGCATTCAGGCAAGTTTTGTGGGTTATGATTTAGTGTATTTCTATGTACATTTCGGGGAAAGCCCATCATCTTTTTAGTGTTTAGGGCTTCTAAAAAGCTTTAACAGGGGCTCTTTGCCAACTTCTACTGGTCAGACCTGTATGTCTCCAAGAACAACAGAAGTGGAAATGAGCCAGATGGATTCAGGCTAAACTTAGGAAGACGCTCCTTGCAGTAAACTCTGTTAAAAGCCAAAATGGTGCTACATGGACACTGAGGTGAATTCCTGCCCCCTCTGCCCTAGTAAAATTCTCTCAATATAATAGATGTCCCTAACTGAGGAGAAAGGTTAAATGACTCCCTCAAGGTCACACGGCCATCAGACTCTGAGCTTCACCACCTGCTCTGCTCATCCGCCTTCCATCCTCTGATTCCTGCTGCCCCACCTGCACCTGTGCCTGTAAGTCTCCCCTTCTCCAGGTCCCACCCCAATTCCTGGCCCAGCTCAGACCCTCAGCCAAATCTCCCATCCTTACCCACAGTTTTTCACTTCATCGTTTTCAAATGCTCTGGGATTAGAGCTGCTCCTACATACCCCATAGAACTGAGCACATCAGCGATGTACAATTAAAGTGTGCTTACTAATTGAGCAGGCCCCAGGGTATGGGAAAAGACAAGCCCTTCTGGCCCAGCTACTGAGGCTCCAACATTTGGGCTGGGAGGATTACTGTGATCTTGTTTGCAGAGCTCGGCAAACTCCACAGATCAAAGGGGCTCATTAATGCAAAGGGTACCAGACACTTCCTCAATGATCTGCTCAGAGTGTTGGGGCCAGAGACTGCCCTGGGAATGACTGAAACAAGGAAAACGGGATCTTCTCTAATCATCTGGCCCCCAAGGGACACACTGTGGGGGAGTGGTTAAGAACATGGTTTTGGGAAACAGCCGCTTCATTTTGGAGTGTCTGTTCACCAGCTGTGCAAATTTAGCCAAATCTCTTAACCTCTCTGAGGCTCCATTTCTTCATCTTTCCATGGCAAGTGACTCTTACCTCCTCAAGGGTAGTTGTAAGGATTTTGTTTGTTTGTTTGTTTGAGACACGATCTCACTCTGTTGCCCAGGCTGGGGTTCAGAGTGGAATGATCATGGCTCACTGCAGCCTTGACCTCCCCAGGCTCAAATGATCCTCCCACCTCAGCCTCTTGAGTAGCTGGGACTACAGGCACATGCCACCATGCCCAGCAACATGTATTGTATTTTTTGTAGAGATGAGATTTCGCCATGTAGCCCAGGCTGATCTCAAACTCCTGGGCTCAAATGATCCTCCTACCTCAGCCTCCCAAAATGTGGGGATTACAGGCGTAAGCCATTGTGCCTGGCCTGTAAGGATTAAATGAGATCATGCATGCAAGGGTTTGACACAGTGCATGGCACAAGTAAGTCCTCCTGTTAAACTGTTACAATTCTAACTCACATTTCTGTAAGAACTTTAATGTCGTAGTTTTTTCTTCTACAACTCTATTTCCTACTGTCACTCTAAGACAGGTGAAACAGATAAGGAAGGGAACGACTGCCGAAAGAAAAGTCAGTTGAGTCACCAAAAACAGTAAAGATTAAAGAATTTTCTAAGAGACTCTGCCCTTCTGGGATGGATAAGGGACCCTGACTTCTAGCCCAAGATCATCCCTTGTGTCACCATGGGGACACTGGGAGCATCTGGGGAACCTTCTTTTCAGGGGATGCCAAACAGAAGAAGAGTGCAGGCCTCTTGTATGGATTAAGTGGGGTCGTGCTAGAGGCAGGAGGCAGGAGGGATGGAGCTGGTGGGAGGGAGAACAGATGTATTTCGCTCACTGCAGTGGGAGACCATAATATGCCTCCCCAAAATACGAAGGCGTGTTGAGCTAAGACGATTAAGAAGCAGCAGATTTAGGAGAGCTCTCTTCTCTTTCTCTATTTGCATAAAAGTAGGACTTTGATTTACAAAGACAAAAGTTATCCTGTCTCCGCCTCTCCATCGGGAGAACAAAAGTAAACACTGAAGACAGCTTTAGACTCTC